TGTTGCAGTTTACAGGAGTGGGGGAGAGCAATAAAGATAGTTGCTTCAAGGTTCTCTCATCTTGGGAGAGATTGATAGCTTTTAGGACAAGTTCTTTAAAGAGGACTTGAACTATGGAGGCTGTGCTCAAAAAAGGCAAGCAGACGACAAAGGACTAGTCACCATTATTGCCTGTGTTCTCCCTTCAGTTGATCTTCATTGAGGCAGGGCTTTGCTTCCTGATGTCACAGGCAAAGCTGCCCCCTAATGGAGTAATGACCATAAAGAAGTAAGAGAGGAGGAAGAATCACAGATCTACAGAATAGATGAAGCAGAAGTAGGAAGATGCTTGCGCTGCTCAAGTATAACTTCCTCTCAAGCAAGGAGAACAGTGAGCAGCACAGTAGGAAGATCACCAAATATCATTCCAAATCATCTAAAATGGGAAAGCCTGGAAAAAAAACTGAAACATTTGGGGGCAAATTTTTTTTTTTCCATTTTTTTCAAAGCTGTTTTTTGTTATTTTCTAAAAATGGAAAACAAAAGAGTGTGGAATGTTTTTTTACAATGATAAATAATATATCTATCACATGGTATTCAATCTATATAACATGAAAACCTTAATGAAAGATTACTGAGACTTTTTGCAGCCCTTAAAGTATTGTAAGTTCTCTCAGCTGAAGACAAGTAAATCCTGGAATACAATTCAAGTAACACTGTACTTCTCAATACAGTTCTTAAACAAGAGAAATATGCATTCCTGCCATATGAGGGCATTGCAGGGAAAAGGCTTCAGTTTTGTTTGCTTGTGGACTCCATCTTATACCTCCTACAGTTGGGTGATTGATGGGATACAGTAGATGATAGTTTCTGTCTTACTTTCAGGCCTTAATTGATAGGTGAGAGGGTAAATTTGTCTGACAAATTCGTTTATCTTTATAACCTCTAAATGATTCATATTAATGTTCTCCATCATCCCAGCAAAATGTTTCCCTATAGTCTGGTCAGTAAAATGTTTTTTTCTTTTTCTCCTTTCAGTAAATGGTGAAACCGGTATGTAGAGTTTATGGACATATTGCCACAGTGCAATTTCTGCTGAGAACAGAAAGCAAGTTTATTTTATTTACTGAATAAGCTGCACTTTTATTTCAAGCATAATACTTTTATATACACTGCATTTCATGTTCTTGGTCTAACAAAATGACTTTCAATTTGTAAAACTACTTCACATTTAATTTTTTTTCAAAATTCTCTGAAAATTGCTATATTTTCTGAAACAAATTGGGAAAAATTAGCTTTTTTTTCTCATGACTTCAAAATTTCCAGACATTTTACATCTCTACCTGAGACTAACAGTCAGAGGCCTCAGTGCTTTTTATGATTTCACACTGCAGACATACAGCCAGGGGCGGACTGACCATTTGGAAACTGCCCGAGGGCCCGGGGTCAGTAGGGGGCCCCATGAGATGCCCCAGTACCTTTTTCATAGGCTTTTTTGAGTTTAGGCAAGGACACAGGGGGCCCATGATCCCCTATTGCCTGGGGGCCCCATGAGTTGCCAGTCCACCCCTGCATACAGCTATGAGGCTGTAGACACTGTAGTGCCTAGGCACAGGAGGTGCACTGCTAGTTTTCAGTAACAATTCAAGACAAAAGGTCCTGCTGAGGCATAATGAATATTTTGGGATGTTCTCTATAACATAACAAATCTTCACTTTTTAATTTTAGGTCAACGTTAGAGAGACCCTGCCACTAGACCATTAATTTCAACAAAAATAAAAATGAATTGTGTATTATTGTATTTATGAATGCTAATTACCTGTAAAAGCCTCCCTTGTGTAGACATCTAAAAGCCCTGAGACTGCTATTGGGCACTGCCAGCTTAGAGGTGACACCAGCAGACCCAGTGAAATTCAGAGCTGTCACTCAAGTAACATACTACAAAATTTGCCTTTGCTTCTTCCCTGGCAGCTACATAAAAAGTTATATAGGAAGGTGAAGGTTAGGTCAGAGGAGCTGGGTCAGCCTAGAGAGCAATTAGACTGCTCCCAGCAGAGGAGAGGGTTATGATGTGAAATGACAGAGTGGGTTGTGGTAGGAAAGTGACTCTCCTAGAGTAACAAGTTCAAAGGCGCATTCTAAGTGAGCAAAAAACATTTATAGAAGGAAAAAATAGCAACTCATTATGGAAAACAAAGTAAGTGATTAAAATAATTGATTTTTTTTGTGCTTTTAACTGCAATTTATTAAGTTGGATAGGGTTTCTTAACCCATCCAGTCGATAACCCCCCATGGGACTTACTCCACTTTGTGAAAGTTGAAGAACCACGATTCCCCCAAATCTCTCACAGCCTTCACGCCCCTCTACAGAACTTCCCCAACAAAGAAGGGTGTTTTATCCTTAATATACAGCTCAATTGTGGGCCACAACAATTGATAATGCTCCCCTTTACTGCAATTGATGGGAAAGGGACTTGAACGATACCCTCCAATCTGCAGACATCTGAGTGGCCCTCTGGCAGGCAGGCAATCTTTAAGAGCTCTCGATACATACTAGTTCTGGAGAACTGATAAAAAAGTACTCTCCCACTGGTATTTCACACCAGCACAAATAGATAAATGTATCCCAAACTACTTGTCCCTGTGTTTCAGAGACTGTAGAGCAGAGGGGGATATGCTCCACATTTGGTGGACATGTTTGACTGTTCGTTGCTTACAGATATACAGTATGCTATGATTAATTCAATGACGCAGGTTAATCTCTGCAAAAACCCATGGGAAGCTCTTCTCTGCAGACCAATAAAGGATGTCACGTGACGCAGTCATAGCTTAATAACGTATTTTTTTTATTCGTAAAAAACAATTGCAATTTCATGGAAATGGCATCCATGACTAGTGCACAAGAGATAGGCCATTCAAGACCCCCTACACCACCATCTCACTCTCTCACATACCCCTTTAACATATCATTAAAGAAAAACATAACACCGATTGGAGTAAAATGGCCAACACGGCCTTTTATTAACACTTCAACTTCAATACACAAAACATTCCTTAAAACAGAAACATACAGGAGAAGTTGTTGGTCTTCAAAGGCAACAAACCAGAACCGATATCCTCCTGCGGAACCTATATTACAACTAGGCCTCCAGCCGCAATGCTCCGGCTCAGAGACAAAACATACCATCCGCAGTGCAGAACCTCCTCCTTCCAGTTAAACCTCGGATAACTGGAATGCCCCCGGGCACACCATACCACCGATGGGTTCCAAACCATTATCTTTAGCTTCAAAATAAGTGCCACCTCCAAAGACCAACAACCACCCCCCCGGAACCAGAACAAAAACCCCGGGGAGTGATAAAACCCCCAAACAACCCCAAGGGAGGGCGGGAGGGAAGCTTGCTCTCTGCTGTCTCCTCCTGCACTGAACTGAAGACCCTCCCCATCCACACCCAAAGGTGTCGAAGACTCCAGCCTACACCCCCCAGTTACCAATCAGGTAACTTGCCCATATCCTAACTCCCACCTTTTCCTTTTTTAATCCTTTCCTGTCTATTCTAACCCCCTCTTGACGTAGTCATGTCTGCGCTGCGCTATTTTCTTTTTCTCCCTTTCGCTACGGGCATCTCTTTAAGTTTGAGAACATGAGATCAAAGGTTTGACAAAAGAGTGATTGTGGGCTCTGAAACATGTGACCAACTATCACACTTTGACGTCAATACGTCCCGATGTCACTTCCGATTACGGTCCTAGCGCTGGTGTCAGGGATGCGGGTGTGACCAGAAGTGTGTGGACTGACACAGGGAAACGTAGGCTTCAGATATGGTAAATAATATAATTTATTAAGACTAACAATACAAACACAGTGCAAAACTAAACATAACACAGTGCAAACAAACTGAACCAAACCTCCATCAGATAACAAACATACGATACAAGAGTAGTCAGGCAGGCCGGGTCGGTAACAAACAGGCAAACGGAGTACCAGGAGCAGGCGGGAGAGTGGTCAGGACTAGCCGAGGTCAGTACAGGCAGAGTTCAGGCAGCGTCAGGACAGCAGAAACAGGATCAGGAAACCAGGGCCAAGCAAACAGTACAACAAGGCACAGACTGCAGGTCTGGCCATCCCTTAAATACACCACCTGCAATCAGCCCCAGGTGATGGCTAATTGCCGAAGTGAGCCTCTGGTTGTTGAGAGCACCCGCTGGCCAGCCCTGGTATTGCAGCCCACAAGGCAGGTGAGTCCCACCACTATTGGCAAGTCCATTCCTGACAGCTGGCTTGTGATCCAGTGTGGCTATATTTGCTGCTGGAGGAAGACACAGCCTGTCATACGGACTTAATCTGCTTTATTCCACCTATCCTGCAGAGCTGTTTTAAGGATACACCTCATATATCCATCCATCCATCCATCCATTTATTGTTTTCATTCCTGGAGGATGAAGGAATTGATACCATTGAATGGCTCCAACGCTCGCCTGACCTAAATCCAATATTATTGATAACTAGACCCCTAAAAATACAAAAACAGAAAAAAAAGCATAAATTTGCTGTGGTTGCACTCAATGTTTAAAGTCTTTGTGTAGTGTAGAAGATGTCAGGAGGATAATTCAGCGCCGTGTCAGTAGGATGGGCTTCCAGAGAATAGTATAGGTAATGTAATTGTCAACAGCTGGCTTATTGAAGTGAAATACAGTACATCTGCTAATGAGGTCATAGTTCTCCAGAGAAATATGTAGGATTCTTGTGTTATACGGCCACAGTTATTTGATCGTTTATTGAGAACACGGAACATGGAGAATTTCCACAGGAAGCTGGTACAGCACATTATTCCCAAGCGTAGTGTTGTCCTATGGTTTTAGAAAACTTCTCATGCACATAAAATAGTGACGTGGCCCTATCGATCCCTCATCTGGTACAGCCCAGGACAGTAATTTGTTGCTACTCCCTTCTTGTTGCATTATTAGTCAAAGTATTTCTATGTTTTCTTTTTTTTAAAGGAAAGCAAAGAGGAACTGTAATGCATCTCCCAGCACTCATCGTCTTTATCTCCGTCATGTCAGTTGATGCAGCTGCACCGAGAACTTTCCTATGGCAAGAAGTAGGAAACCCATCATGTATTCGCTGTTGTGGAGGCGCAGAAGAGCAAGCGGATGCTCCTAAGAAAACCAGGATTAAGGAGTATGTGATGCACCCTATGCCGAGGGTCCAGCCACGTATTGAGATGAGCATCCTAAAGGGTGAGTCTTCAGAGGGTCTTCTTCCACTTAGTGTCAGCCCCAGTTTAACAAAAAATGCAACTACAACAGACAAAATGTGACCTTAGGGGTCTGCAGTCCCCTTGTTCTGACCATTGGGCATTGAAATGCAGTTTTAGTAAACGGGTTGCATGTCAAGTGTTAAATTTTGAAAATCTTTTAATCACCTCTTGTCAGGTGGAACAGGTAGAGCCAAGCACAGTACAGAGTCACAAGCCAGGAACGTAGTCATTTGGAGATTAGGGAAGTGCAAGCATGGCCAAGGAACATGCCAGGGTTTAGGGAAGGCAACAGGTAAAAGCAGAATCCAAAGGGATTAAGAAGCACACTTTCTCTAACCCTAACACCAATCCCTGTAATACTAATGATATAATCATTTTATTAATCCTAATCATTACCCTAACACTAAACCCTCACTTTAATCCTTCCTGGAACCCTTACACTGACTATTTCTGTAACTTTCACACTTATCCCCAGAGTAACCCTTGCACAAATCCTTCCTTTAACCATAACTCTAACCCTCCCTGTAACACTAATCTTCCTTGTGACGAGATCACCAATCCTTCTATATACCCTAACACTAACCTTACAAAACTAATTTTCTCTGTATCCCTGATACCAACCCTCCCTGTAATCCTAGCACTAACCCTACCTGTAACCTGAACACTAACCCTTCCTTATGACATAATACTAACCTTCCCAATAACTCTAAAGCCAACCCTCCCTGTAATCCTAACACTAACCCTCCCTGTAATCCTAACACTAACCCTCCCTGTAATCCTAACACTAACCATCCCTGTAATCCTAACATTAACCTTCCCTGTATCCCTGATACCAACCCTCCCTGTAATCCTAACACTAACCCTCCCTGTATCCCTGATACCAACCCTCCCTGTAATCCTAACACTAACCTTCCATGTATCCCTGATACCAACCATCCCTGTAATCCTAACACTAACCCTCCCTGTAATCCTAACACTAACCCTCCCTGTATCCCTAATACCAACCCTCCCTGTAATCCTAACACAAACCTTCCCTGTAATCCTAACACAAACCTTCCCTGTAATCCTAACACCAACCTTCCCTGTAATCCTAACACTAACCCTCCCTGTAATCCTAACACTAACCCTCCCTGTAATCCTAACACTAACCCTCCCTGTATCCCTGATACCAACCCTCCCTGTAATCCTAACACTATCCCTCCCTGTAATCCTAACACTATCCCTCCCTGTAATACTAACACTATCCCTCCCTTTAATACTAACACTAACCTTCCCTGTAATCCTAACACTATCCCTCCCTGTAATCCTAACACTAACCTCCCTGTAATCCTAACACTATCCCTCCCTGTAATCCTAACACTAGCCCTATCTGTAATTCTAACACTATCCCTCCCTGTAATCCTAACACTGACCCTCCCTGTAATCCTAACACTAGCCCTCTCTGTAATTCTAGCACTAACCTTCCCTGTATCCCTGATACAAACCTCCTTGTAATCCTAACACTAACCTTCCCTGTATCCCTATCACTATCCCTCCCTGTAATCCTAACACTATCCCTCCCTGTAATCCTAACACTAGCCCTCCCTGTAATCCTAACACTAATCTTCCCTGTATCCCTATCACTATCCCTCCCTGTAATCCTAACACTATCCCTCCCTGTAATCCTAACACTGACCCTCCTGTAATCCTAACACTAGCCCTCCCTGTAATCCTAACACTATCCCTCCCTGTAATCCTAACACTAACCTTCCCTGTATCCCTATCACTATCCCTCCCTGTAATCCTAACACTAACCTTCCCTGTAACAATAACCATCCCTGTAACCCAAACAGTAACCCTTCTATCATAACACCAAAATACCCTATAACACTAACCCCCCTTGTAACCCTAACATTACGTCTTCTTGTAAATTGACCACTAACCCTCCCAGTAATCTTAAAAATAATCCAGCTTTAAATTAATGTAACCCCTCATTTGCATACTCACCTCTTCTGCATTTGGATCCTCTGCACAAAAAAAAAAAACTAACCTTTTTTGCCCTGGAAAAAGGTTTAGGTCCTTCATTTTTAGGTTAGGTGTAGAGGAAGGGACAGGGGCGGACTGACCATTTGGAAACTCGGGCACTGCCCGAGGGCCCCAGGGTCAGTAGGGGGCCCATGAGATGCCCCTGCTACCTTTTTCATTGGCTTTTTTGAGTTTGGGCATGGACACATGATCCCCTATTGCCCGGGGGGCCCGGGAGTTGTCAGTCCGCCCCTGGGAAGGGATGAAATTAGTGTTAAAGCACATCTCCAGCCAAAAACAGTGAAGTGAAGGTAATTCTATACACTTTCTGACTTTTTGAAAAGTATTACTAAGAACAGGAAATGAAGGGAACACCCCTACCCAAAAGGGGCAAAGTCTCACTTTAAGAGCTGGGTGAAAACATAACTCAAGAATACGTTTTAGGAGTTCATTAGGGAAAGGGTTAAGTTTTAGGAACCACTGACTTCATAAGTCAGGGGATCTGGAGAGAAATTCTACATTCCAAAAAAATACCAGTTTCGGAGCACCAAGAACTAACCATTATAGACATGTGTTTGTTAGTTTTTTTCCATTGTGTCTGAGTTGTTTTGTGCCTTTGCCCAATTCTGGTAGAATCATTTCATTATCTATATAGGTCATGGACCATTACCTCGGGGTAACACCATGCCAACATTTATAAAGAAGGTGAAATAATTTTGCCTGGAATTAGGCTTTAAGAAACTTTTAGACAAACGTATGTTGTAAATGTTTGCCCAAATAAATTGTTTCTCACTGTGATGTACTGTACCATCACCTTGGCAGGTGAGAAGGGTAATGTAGGAGACAAAGGTCCTCCAGGAGTCTCAGGAAAAGAAGGCGAACGAGGACCACACGGGGTTCTAGGAATAAAAGGTCAGAAGGGTCAAGTAGGTCCACCAGGAAACTCCTGCAAGGTCCAGTATTCTGCTTTCTCTGTTGCCCGTCGTAAATCGCTGCACAGCACTGACTACTTCCAAACAGTCATCTTCGACACAGAGTTTGTAAATCTTTACAAACACTTCAACATGTTCTCAGGGACTTTCGTCTGCTACATTCCTGGAATTTACTTCTTCAACCTAAATGTCCACACCTGGAACCTGAAAGAGACCTATCTACACATCATGAAGAATGACCAGGAGACGGCCATTTTATATGCACAGCCAAGTGACCGCAGTATCATGCAAAGTCAAAGCCTTATGCTTGAGCTGAAGGAGAAGGATGAGGTTTGGGTGAGGATGTTCAAACGAGAGCGGGAGAACGCATTGTACAACGATGAAACTGATGTCTATATTATCTTTAATGGTTATCTGATCAGATCAGCGGACGAGTGACGTGTTAAAACTCGGACATTTCGGACTTGAAAACGGCACAAAACAAAAAGACTGTTTCGCTAATGTTTATTGCTGCAATTGTATTATCTCCTGAATAGTTTCAAGGCTAAAGTGATCCTATTTGATATAGGATACTGTGTATATAAATAAATATTCTCAATAAGAATTGCAAATTTTCCAGATCTCCATTACTATGCTTCACAGCCAAAAAGAAAATACTGTATTTATTGTGTGCAGTGTAGTGGGTCAAATTCCTCTTGTATTGAACTGTATTGTCTCCCGTTATTATTATTATTATACAGTATTTATAAAGCGCCAATGGTTCGCTCAGCGCTGTACATTACAAAGGGGGACAGAACATGTGACAGAACAATACCAATACAATGCAAAACATGAGGGAATTGAGGGCCCTGCTCTTTCAAGTTTACAATCTAGGAGGGAGGGGATGGTGGCACAGGAGGAGATAGCTGTGGGGGATGGGGTGGTAGGAAGAGTGGAGGAGGTCGGCAGGTTAGCAGGGGGTGGGGTAGGCTTCCCTGAAGAGATGGGTTTTCAGGGTGCGCCTAAAGGAGAGGAGAGTAGGTGATAATCTGATGGGTTGGGGCAGGGAGTTCCAGAGGATGGGTGACACCCTGGAGAAGTCCTGGAGGCGGGCATGGGAGGAGGAGACCAGGGAACTGGAGAGAAGGAAAATACATTATATTGTAAAGTGATGAGCAAACTATTGGCGCTTTATAAATCCTGTATAATAATAATAATAATAATAGTGGGTGCTAAGGTTGTTAAATGTATCGCAAGTACTGTATTAATATATAAAATAACCAATCATTCACCTAGCAGGTCCCTTTTCTAATTTTGATGAAGACATCTCTAAGAAAAACTTTTTTTAGTAGTTTTATTGCTTTCTATGGCCCTGCTGGAGATATTCACCCCGTTTTGCCTATCCTGGGGAGTATTGTCCTTAGCATGTGATGCAAATTCAGAATTTTATGGAACGGGCGTTGAAGGAAAAGTTTCTTTTGAGCACACTTTTTGCACTCATTTCCATTTTTGTCTTCTGCACATAAATTAATAAGAAATCGCCTGATAGGGGTGCTCCATTTCTTTTTGAGGGGGTTTTTTTTGAGGGTCAATTAACTTGGATAGAGAACATGGGATACCCTGAACCTGTTTGTAAAAGTGTACAACATGAGGACTGTTCCACTTCTGGTTTCACTGCACAAATGATTGGTTGCACAGGCACAAAAGAAATATCCTACTAGATCTCTAGGGTGACTGTGACCTGTACTCCTTCCAGAGTTTCAAAGCTATATACTACCACAACTCTTCAGCACTGGGGTCATGTATTCGCTTAGCCACTGGCTCATCGGTCGCTTCCTACCAATATTTACCAGGCTCTTCACACCACCACAGGACAGCTTTCTTCTACAATGTCCTCCTGGCTCTCTCTCCTGTAAGCTTCTCCTGACTAAACCTGATCCTTGGACCTGGACTTGCAAACTGGCCCCCCAGCTAAGCCTAGCTGGAACCTTGGTGTCTTTTGAATAGCTTCCTCCCAGATTTCTGCCCCAGGGGGCAGAGCCCCTGCACAGGGGTCTGCTCCTGCAGAACTGAACCCAGGATTGCCGGACACACCTCCCCAGAGATTGGCTGGAGTTCCATAAATTTTCAGGCTGCAGACTTTGTCCTTCCTCCCACTATGTTCTACAATCCTCTAGAACAGGGGTGGGCAACTGTGGCCCTCCAGCTGTTATTATTATTATTTCAGGTACTTATATAGCGCCGTCAATTTACGCAGCACTTTACATATATATTGTATATTCACATCAGTCCCTAACCCTCAAGGGGCGTACAATCTAAGGTCCCTAACCCTCAAGGGGCGTACAATCTAAGGTCCCTAACCCTCAAGGGGCGGACAATCTAAGGTCCCTAACCCTCAAGGGGCGTACAATCTAAGGTCCCTAACCCTCAAGGGGCGGACAATCTAAGGTCCCTAACCCTCAAGGGGCGGACAATCTAAGGTCCCTAACCCTCAAGGGGCGGACAATCTAAGGTCCCTAACCCTCAAGGGGCGGACAATCTAAGGTCCCTAACCCTCAAGGGGCGGACAATCTAAGGTCCCTAACTCACATTCATACATACACATACTAGGGCCAATTTAGACAGGAGCCAATTTACCTACTACCAATATGTCTTTGGAGTGTGGGTGGAAACCGGAGTACCTGGAGGAAACCCACGCAGGCACAGGGAGAACATGCAAACTCCAGGCAGGTGGTGCCATGGTTGGGATAACTACAAGTCCCATCATGCCTCTGCCTTTGGGAGTCATGCTTTTAACTGTCAGTTTTGCAATGCCTCATGGGACTTGTAGTTCTACAACAGCTGGAGGGCCACAGTTGCCCAACCCTGCTCTAGAAGACAGGGGGAGGTAACAGAGCAGCAGCCTGTAAAACACTGAGCAGCCCTAAGCAATCCACATGTGCTCCTCTAATTCCAGCAGACCTAGGTAAACGTACCTAACAGTCTACTCAAATCTAGGAGGGCACGACAAAATATTTTCTTTTTAAGAATAATTATATCTGGCCTCCAAGCAAAGAGCTCATAACACACTTATACCTGCCAATTGATTTGTATTTCTATCAATGCAGTCCTGAAATTTGGACAGCCCTGTCGAACAGCCCATTCAAGATTGTTGGCAATTACTGCAAGTAAACATAACACCTAGGTCAACAGCTGGTAACTGCACAGTGAAGGAGCAACAGAAGCAAGATGAGGTCACCTCTCTGCTCTTTCCTCGTGTCACCCCCCCCCCCACAAATACCCCCCCCCTCCCCCCCCCCCCCCCCCCCCCCACACCCCCCCCCCCCCTGTTTGCATCAAAGAAATCACTATAAAATAGAACTGTCTGACTTAAGAGAAGCACGATAAAAGATTGCAAACAGCAACAAATCATCCATGATCTGAAGAAATTCAGAACAGATGAGAAACAACGTAATTGGCATTATCAGTCAGTCTGGAAAGGTTTACAACAAGCCATTTCTAAGGCTTTGGGACTCCATTCAACCACGGTGAGAGCCATTATCTGCAAATGGAAAAATTTTGCAACACTACCAAAAATAACTTCAAGAGCACAATAAACGACTCCATCTATGAGGTTTATATAAAATCCCGAAACAAGAACCAAGCACTTGACGTTCCGTTAAGGTCGGTGTTCATGATTCAACAATATGAAACAGACTAGTCAAAAATGGGCATCCATGGCTCAGGGGCGGAGTGACAACTTCAATGGGGCCTCTGGGCAATAATAGATCATGGGGGGCCACTGTGTCCTTGCCAAAACTCAAAACAAGCCCTATGAAAAAGGTATCGGGGCCTTTTACATTGGGGCCCCCTACTGACCCCGGCCCCCCTGGCAAATAGGGGATCATGGGGCCCCTGTGGTCCTTGCCCAAACACAAAAAAGCCTATGAAAAAGGTATAGGGGCATTTCATGGGGCCCCCTACAGACCCCTGGCCCCCTCGGGCCAATAGGGCTCATGGGGCCCCATGTGTCCCTTGCCAAAACTCTAAAAAGCCCTATGAAAAAGGTACCATGGGCATTTCATTGGGGTCCCCCCACTGACCCCGGCCGCTCTCGGTCGAGGCAACCTGAGTTTCCCAATGGTGCAAGTCCGCCCCTGCTTGGGAGAGTTCCATGGCGAAAGCCACTGCTGACCAAAAAGAACACAAAGGCTCATCTTACATTTGCCAAAAAAATTCTGATTATCCCCAAGACATTTAGGTCAAATATTTTATGTGGACTGATGAGACAAAAGTTGAACTTTTTGGAAGGTGTGCGTCCCGTTTTACATCTGGCATAAAACTAACACCTTGAATTCGTAAAAAAAAAAAAAAAAAAAAAAAAGATCATACCGAACAGCCAAACATGGGTGGTGGTAGTGAGTGTGATGGGTCCTGGGGCTGCTTTGCATGCTTCAGGACCCTGGATGACTTTATCATAAATGATGGAACCCATGAAATCTGCTCCTCTATCAGAAAAAATGTTCAGTCCCATCAATTCCGTGACCTCAGAGCTTCAAGTGCACTTGGGTTTTAAGCAGCAGGGGTTTAGGGGACAATTATTTTTTCACAATAGGGTGCCAGGCATGTTTTGGACAGCTTTATTTCCCTTAATAAATGAAATCAATGTTTAAACAAAACTATTTTTTGTATTTACTTAATATGGGTTATCATTGTGTAATAACTTATAATTTATAAAGTAAACATAATGCTAAAATGTCAGTATTTATATCTTCTCTAGAAAGTTAGTCTTATTAACAAATTAGGACAACAAAAAAAAAAAAATAAATAATAAATGCAAAATTGTATAGCTTTTATATCTCCTTGAATGTTCAGCTTTTTAATACATTTTGAAAAAAAAAATTAAATATATATATAAATACATACACACACACATACATATATATATATATATATATATATATATATATATATATATATATTATATATGCAATCATTTATGTTTGATATCTCTTTGGAGGTCAGCTTTACAAAAATCAAAATTAAAACATATATTTTTATATATCCCTCAAGGTCAGCTGAACACAAATGGTATACTTATGCTTGACTGAGTTTCTGTGTAAGTTGTTCCTAATAGCCAAACATAGTGGTTGGTAGTGAGTGTGATGGTCCTGGGTAGCTTTGCAGCTTCAGGACCTGGATGACTTGTCATAATTGATGGAACCATGAATTCTGCTCTCAACCAGGAAAATGTTTCGCCCATCAATTCGTAACCTTAAGCTCAAGTGCACTTGGGTTAAGCAGCAGGGGTTTAGGGGGCAATTACTTTTTCACATAGGGCCAGCCGGCAGGTTTGGACAGCTTTTTTCCCTTCAAAAAATCAGTAATCATCTGTTTAAAAAACTGCATTTATATTTACTTGGTTATCATTGTGTAATATTTTATATTTATAATAGTACACATATGCAAAAAAAACAAAA